ATAAAGAAGGCCATCTTCAAGGCGATATTGAGAATGTAAATGCCGAAAAGGCAAGTCGTCAGCAAGTGATGCAGGATTCTCAAACCCATCTCGAAGCCTTCGAATCCACGGCTCAATTTTTTGAGCCTCGCGAACCTCATCAAGAGAAGGTAGATCTTGCTCTGCACCTTGTGGACACTGAACGTCAAGGACAACAACCGCCGACAGCACAGAATCCTCATCTAGAAAATCCACAGATGCTGGAACAACAGGTTCGTCAGAAACATGGGAAGTGAGAGGAGCTCGAGAAAGGGCATCAGCATCAGCCATAGAACTCCCTGGGTGATGAACAACATCGAAATCATATATCTGAAGCTTCAAAGCCCATCAAGCTGTATGACCAACCAGGTTCTTCCACTTCAATAATGAAGTAACAGCAGCATGGTCACCTTCAAGTAACGTCCGAGAACCATGTAAATATGCATGAAGTTTCTCGAAACCCCAGACTGCTGCTAAACACTCCTTCTCCATCATGGAGTAGTTCATCTCCGCTGGTTGTAATGTACGGCTTATGTATGCAATGGGATGGCGCTGACCAGGCACACTCGAGCTCTCTTGCATCAACACACCTCCAAGACCAATGTCAGAAGCATCCACGTGCAAAATAAAAGGTCGAGTATAGTTAGGATACGCCAAAACTGGAGGAGTCGTCAATAGCTTTTTGAGATCCATGAACGCCCGCTCACAATCCGGAGACCAGATGAAAGATGACGTTAATGACTTCAGCAACGCTCGCAATGGTGTAGTGCAATCGGAAAGATGATCCACAAAACGACCAAGATACTGCACCTTACCCAAAAAGCATTGCACATCATTCACACACTTCAGAGTAAGGAACTTTAGAACAGCCACAAGTTTGTTAGGATCAACTTGCAAACCCTCACGAGAAATACGGTACCCAAGATAAGTTGTGTCCTTGGACCCAAACACGCACTTTGACCGCTTCAGCTTTAAACCAACATCGCGTAACCGATCCAACACTTTACAAACATCACGAACGTGCTCCTCCCACATCCCCTTCGAGTGGATCAAGACATCATCAATGAAGTCAGCAGTCACCTCTAGCATATCGCAAAGAACCTCGTCCATCATCCACTGAAAAGTTGCTGGAGCATTGTTCAAACCAAACAGCATCACCAAGAACTCATACAAACCAAATGGTGTACAAAATGCAGTCTTAGGAATATCTTCTTTAGCCATCGGTACTTGCCAATACCCAGAAGCAAGATCTAGCTTGGTGAACCAACGACTTCGCCCCAAACGATCCAAGAGATCAGCAGTGTGAAGAAGAGGATACACATCTGGGATCGTCACTTCGTTTAACAGACGATAGTCGATGCAGAAACAAATACTCCCATCAGGCTTCGTCACAAGATGAGGTTCACATGCCTAAGGACTCCGTGACTTCCGAATAACACCCTTCTCCAGCATTTCCTTGACGTTTGCTCGTAAAATCTTGATCTCCTTAGGTGACTGACGACGAACAGGAACCTTAATTGGACGAGCATCCCCGGTTGGAATCGGATGACGTGTGGCAATCTTGGCCCCAGACGATAGGTCAAATTCAAAGAGATCAGAATACTCCTTCATGAGCCAGTCAACTGCTGCAACACAAAGAGCGTCGGAGGGATCAGAAAAGGGAAAAGCAGAACAAGATGGAAACACAGAAGGAAAGAGTGGGGGAACAAAAGTAATGGAAGCAGAGGTAGAAGTAAAGGGACGAAGGGGTATAAAAGTGAGAGGAATGGATGAAACATAAGGAAGTATGAGACAAGGGGGAGAAGCCTCAAAGTCACACTTGGCATGATTGCGCTGCAACCAATCCATACCAAGAATGAGGTCAAAAGCTTGACTCAGCACCACCCGCAACGACTGCAACTCAAGCTCGAGATCACTCACACGCACAACCAGGTCCACTTCATCCCGTGCACATGCATGTGTACGGCCGTTGCCATAAAGAATGAAAACTGGTTCTGCTGCACGACGCAAGTGTAGACGACAACGTGTGGCAATAGGTCGAGCAATAGAAGATAAACTCGAACCTGTATCAACCAACACGGAGAGAATAATAGGAGACTTCTTGTTATAAAAACGAGCTTGGAAAGTAAACACTTGATGAACTGGTGCCGAGTGAACCCCTTGATGATACTCCCGAAAGAAAGATGGAGGGGTCACTGATTTATTCGCGCAAGGTCCCTCCGTTACTCGCACGACTCCTCGTTTCCCGGATGCATCTCGGTGTCCAGACCTTCCACTGCAGCAGCACCCAGGGGACGTTGCTGATGCCAAGGTCTCCACCCAGGAAATGGAGGTTGCCAATCCGGAAAACGACGGCAACGCCGATAAGTATGACCAACTTCATCACACGCCCAGCAGTGAACATCACGGCCACGACCATGTCCTCGTGCTTGTCCTTGGACTTGAGCAGCAGCAGCATCAACCTCCATTGGAACAGGACTATCACCCATAAGAAGTGGAGCAGAAGGATGTGCAGCGAGAAGTGGAAGAGGCAACTTCTCATAACGTTGTGCCAAGCGAAGAGCATCATCAAGGGTGGCAGGAGCAAGTGCATGCACAAGTCCGACAAGATCTTGACGAAGTGCTGGCCACAACATTCCTAGCTTGATCCGCTCCGACATATTTGGCTCCGCACGAAGCAAAAGACTTCGGAAACGAACGCCAAATTGCATCACCGACTCAGATGGCCCTTGGCGAAGACAATGCAATTGTTGGAAAGCATCATCACAATCATCGGCATGTCCGAAGGCACGTTTGACTCCATCTCGGGTCCATCTCGGACTCCATCTCGGGTCCATCTCGGACTCAATCTCGGATCCATCTCGGACTCAATCTCGGATCCATCTTGGACTCCATCTCGGGTCCACCTCGGACTCCACCTCAGACTCCATCTCGGGGTCCTTCTCCGACTCCACTTCGGACTCCAACTCAGGTCCATCTCGGACACTTCCACGTGTCATGTGTTGGTCCTTTTGGGTCCCTTTTTGAAGCCTCGCTTATTGCTCGCTTCATGCTCGTTCTTCGAGTACTTTGTTGGGAGTTCCACTCCCGCTCTCAACCTTTCAAGTCGGAGCTTTTAGTCCAAATGTGTTACGCTCGTTTGGTTTTCGCTTCGGCCACCACCACATGGCCCCTTCCGGCTCCACTTTGGGGCCTAGGGATTTTGTGTCTCACAACTTCCTCCTCACATGACCATATCCTTGGTCTCTACACTAGAGGACGGCTCCTCTTCCTTTTCACCGTCTGGGAGTTTGGGACAACATTTCGGAACACCGTGGCCTTACGCAAGCCTCGTGGGTACTCTCCCCCACTTGTCGGTCCGTATTCACTCTAGTTTTGGACTTCTCAATGGTCAGTTCATCACCCAACATTAGGTATGGCCTTCCTAATCACTGTAAAGTGATCGAATCAATGGTACACATCATCCCTAGGATTCCCGTGAAAGAACTCTGGCCGAACGCGAGGATTGGCACCAAGAGCAGGAGGAGTTGTACCATGTGCCATGAACGCCGCCATCAACTGAGTTTGGTTGTTCAATTGCAAGCGCATAACATCAAACAATTGAACCAACTGCTACTCTAGAGTCAAAGGAGGAGATTGCAGATCAGCCATGAAGATGAACTAAAAAGAAAGAGCAAAAGAAGGGAAATGACAAAAAAGTTGGAAAGAAATGGTAGATCTAGACAATGCAAAAAGTTAGATCTAAACCAAAATCCTGAAAGGAAAGAACAAAAGAAAGGAAATGGAAAAAGCTAAATCTAGACGATACAAAAGCTAGATCTAAACCGAAATCCCAAATCCAAGCACTCCCTAGAGACAATCAAAAGTGCCCCTCACCTCCACCAATGTGAGTGCATGGAATATGGAAAGAGAATACAGAAATGTGCATATTAATTAGCCCAAAAACCCTAGTTTATATACAGGAGCGAGTGGTCCGGATTGAAACCAATCCGACGGCTACCAAAATCCACTACGTTAATATTAGTATACGGCATCGTAGCCATACACTTGGCCCTCACAAAAGTATATTTGGAATATTTATATAATAGTAATAAATAAATATATCAAAATGTGCGAATATTTCCTTTAAACCCTAATGAGACTAAGTAGGATTGCGGAATTGAAGTACATGATACAGGGAGCATGCCTACGTCTATCTGTGCTATGATCTTCACGTAACTTTGTGGCTGATAAGGATGGTGTTGGTGCCGCTGTGCATTCGTTCCTGTGCTCCTGATACATTGAGGAATTTTCAAACTCATGGACCACTCTTTTCAGCTCCAAACTTGGACTCAAAGATTGTCAGCTTCAGGACACTAAAATGATGAAAGTCTACGAACCCTTCAATTTCATGGCTCACCTATCTCCTGTACTAGAGCCTAGAGACGAACTGGAGCCTTCAAGTTTATACTTCTGAGTGCAGCCCTTGCGGAAAAAGTCTTCAGCTCGACATTTATGGTAGTTCTCTCCTAGCAGATCACAAGATCCTAAAAAGGTTAACATTAGCAGTTTTATTAGCTAATGTAATTATTCCCCTGTTTGCTATCAGTGACGTAGGATCCTAAAAAGGTTAACATTAGCAGTTTCATTAGCTAATGTAATTATTCCCCTGTTTGCTATCAGTGACGTAGTACTGGCCCAACAATATCGGTCTATGTTTGTGGTCATCGGACGATTTCAGCGACGAGAAGTTTAGCAAAAACTGGTTAATTGCCATATCTTGGCCAAACACACTGTCCAGTATGCATGGTACACATACCCGTGTTCTTATGATACGCTCTACTAGTAGTCTGACGTAGAAACTGAAATGAAATGTTATCACCTATATCTCTAACGTAGCCTTGTATTATTTCTACCATTGTTCTTACTTGTTGCAGGGGCACCTGGCAGTGAATCCAGCTGAGAGATTAGAATGAGAGCTGCTAGAATAAACGATCTCATACTTCAGCCCTGAAAACTTTCTTGTGTGATTTATCTAATAAGACTTTAAAGCTTGCCTTTAGGCAAAGGCAAGATCGTTGATTTCCAAGCGTGAGGAGAAGACGATTTAGAGTATACTTACAAGTGCTTTTGGAGTTGCAAGGTATTTCTTGGAGCACTCACCCAAGGAGTGCCAGCGATAGCAAATCTCCACAATGCTATCACGTCCTTGGGCAGTGCATATTCGATTCCTACCCTTGGCCCGACAAGAATGGCATCCGGAGAAGAACCATCCAAAATCTCAAGACCACCTGTTCGAGAAGATCTCTCAAGTGGAGAATATCACGTAACTTAGCTCATACCTGGCGAGAACAAAGGATGGCTCGACCATTGAGTAGTCAATCCAAGAGCTTGTCCAATCTGTCCATTGCAAAGATCGTAAGCGTTTCTAGTTCCTAAAGTTGTAGCAAAGACCACGAACCTTTCCCGGGCCAGTGAGCAGTATAGGCTTAATAGTTTGCTGCTTTCTGCGAGTTTGAATCGTTTCCAGACCTTCACAAAACGATCGAGCTAATGAGATTAAAGAGAGCAAAAGATTGCGATATCGAAGAACCTGATACAGGAGCACAGGAACGAATGAGCACAGCGGCACCAACACCATCCTTATCAGCCACAACGTTTAGCATTACGTGAAGACCATAGCACAGATAGACGTAGGCATGCCCTCCTTGTCCAAACTAAAAGCAAAGAAACGTATTGAGAGCTTTGAAAAAAGAATTTCATACCAAGGGAGCCGTGCGTGGAGTTTTACCGAAGCGCGCATGGCACGCAGTGTCGTCCTGCCGATAAGCTTCAACCTGGTAAACATTGGTCGCAAGTTTTAGAGAGGAAAATAAATGAGGAAAAAGAAAAACCAGAGCTCGGACCTCGGTTATTTGCAAGACAACGTCTTCTCGACGAAGAAGCTTTCCTAGCAGCCGTGGCGCAAGATCCACCGCGTCACACTCGAAGAACGATTGCTTTAGCGGTAAAACTTCCTTGAGATTTGGAGTTTTACAGATTGGAGCTTGCTCTTCTCTCTCGGCTCGTCTCACATATACCACATTCTTCTTTGGAGCTGCAGGATTTTCGCTACAAATCGCCATGGAAATGCGCTTTCTTCGGATTTTCTTGGCCTGCTCTTGCGAAGATCTTGACAATGCGAACTTTTCCTCCCAATCTACTTCCCCTTGCGATGCTAGCCGTGACGATCGCCTCACATTCTCTACATCGTCATTCACCGCCATTGCCGAGCTAAAGCCCTAATTCTTGGGCCCTAGAGTCTAGAAAAAAACTTTAAAGATTGAGAGTTCATGTAACACTGTAGGACTCGGTCTTCAAAATCCAACTATATAAACCAGACTATCCCATTACAAAAATCATTGCAGCATTCTTTCTAGCAAATCTCTCCTTGCTTTTCTTCTTGTGATCTTTGTTGGCTCGTCCAGCTGCACCAAGAACGACAACTGCAATGGCTCAGGAGTCTGTGGCTCCCGAGTCAACCAGGCCGATTGCCGACGAGCAATCTCTCGCTTCACCGATGGAACAAGCTACAATGGCTTCACTTGGTTATTGCACCGCGATTTCAGGTGTCTGTGAGTGGTACAGCCTTCATGCCAGCCTTGCCGACTCTGCGGAAACCACGCATTCGAGGCCACACTGAACTACTGCTCCAGCTCTGGAAATCCAAACGCTGTGGAGAACTGAAGCTACTGAGACTCTCGTCATGTTTTAAGAAAACAAAGAATAAGACAATGTTTTCCGCTCTAATGAGTAAAATAACCAAACTCGAACATTAAAAAACAGATTAATACTTGAAGGATGATTATCTTAGGAAGGTCTCCAGATAGGTTTAGCGGTCTCTGTTCTGTAAATGGCCCAGTAACCATCACGCAAGTGCTAGACCATACCCCTCCTTTAGATCCAAGAACCAATTATTGCCATTTAGCAACCTTGAGTTGCTAACTCGGGAACATTGTGTTCCCGAGTTCCATTTAATTATTCCCTTCGGATTCTGTAGTATGAGATTGCATGTCTTTGGGACTGTCAACCTATAAGAATGATCAACTGAGGTTAAGCTGCTTCCACTGAGTAAGTATGAACAAAGATTGTTTCTAGATCCACTGACTAGTGATATAGACCCAACAATCTTTTATATCACTGTCAAACCCATGTGAAGGTTGTGATACTTGTGATCATCAAACGATTTAAGTCATGAGAAGTTGGATTATTAATTCATCAGGATCTAACTCTTCCAGTCTCCTGAACGCTCTACTAAGCACTAGAAAATTGACATGCACAAACGTATTCTTAGGAACACCCACGACAAGTTCGAGCGTTCTGAAATGAAGCACTTTGTCTCCTTGTTACCAAAACTCCACCTGGTGGTGCATGGCATGAATTCAGCTGATAGATAACAACGAGAATGGCTAGAAGAAACAAACTTATTTGAGTTTCTTCTTTTTCTTATCGAACTGTTTATGCGAGTGATCCATGAAGCTTACCTTGTCTTATTGCTTGGTAAAAGTTTGATGAGATTTAACAAGTACTTAAAATTGCTTTTGGGGTTGCAAGGTTTTTCTTCCATACTGCGGTCACGTTTTGGCACTGGAGAAAGAACTAGCCAAGGAAAACAACAAAACTATCATCTGTAGATGAATCCCGTAACTTATTAAATGCAAAGGATGGCTCAACCTTAAATCGGTGGAATTCAAGAGCCTGCAGACAGCTTATTGTATACTTTGAAAATTCACAGACACTGAACAGTGTAAGAAAATCGAAGTACCTGATACAGGAGCACAAGAACGAATGGGTGGACAATCGAATGTGCTAGCTGTGACGATCTCTAGCCCATTGCTGGTGCGAGTCTAGTCAAATAACATGTTCTAATTGTAAACAAGTTCTTGCATTAGAAAATAAGTTAAAAATCAAGAGATCATGTAAACACTGTATGACGCAGTCTTCAAAATACCCCTATATAAACCAAACCATTCCATTGGCAAAATCATTCTTCATACTTCAGCTCCTCATTACAGGATTCTTTCTAACATATTCGAATGGAGTCTTCTCTCAAGCTCTTTTCTCTTCTTGCTATTCTTCTCGTGATCTTTCTTGGCCCCTCCAACTGCGCCAAGAACGACAACTGCAATGGCTCTGGACTCTGTGGATCTCGCGTCAACCAGGCCGATTGCCGGCGAGCGATCTCTCGCTACACCGACGGAACAATCTACAATGGCTTCACTTCTCGTGTTTCTGGCCATTGCACTGCAATTTTCAGGTGCGATGGCAACTATCCATCCGTGAGTGGGGCAGTTCTCAAGCAGCAGTTTCTCCATGTGTATGACAACCAGCCTTGCCGACTCTGTGGAAGCCATGCATTCGACGGGGGCAATTGCGAGGCCACACTGAATTATTGTGCGAATTGCAGGGACTCTGGAAATCCCAACGCCGTGGAGAACTGAAGCTAGGCTTTGGACGTCTTCCAAATAAAAGGATTGACAATAATTGCCGTGCAAGTTTGATAGTGTTTGGTTTTCATTTTCAGTTTATTCGCTGTAACCCCCCAAATGTTGAATGACAACTTCAAGGTCCACTGAACTTGATTGATAAACCTCCTTTTGATTTGAAGCAGTGAGTATAGAAGCTTCTTTTGTGGACAATTCGTTCGCTGCAGAGCCATTAACGCGATGATCTTCACTGGGAGAAGAGTAAGGTAACAGAGTTAAGTAAAACAGAAGTCAAAGTTTATTTGACTGGCTATAACTGGAAAAACGTGTTGATTATACATGGACTTAAGGGATACGTCGGTAACCACAATAATTATAATATTGCGATATTTGATATGCACTGTATGCTTGAATTGTCCAACTAGTTCCGGGAGAAACGTAATGCAGCGTCTCACCATACTGCAATTTGTTCAGCTTGACTTTGTAGTCAGTCTTCACTAAATGAAACTTGTTACGTGTTGTACTTGGGCACTAGCAGATTACAAGTTTGACATGCTCCACCAATCAAGCTTGTTTTGATTTATAATTATGTTAAAGGTAGTTGGGCAAAGCCCTAACCTAAAGTAAAACTAAATCAAAGAATATTTCTACACAGGAGCATTTGAGAAATAATAAACTTTTACACACGTAAAACAAGATTTAAAAGCCTGGATGGTTGACTCCAAGCGCCAGGAAATATGTGAATTTTTGGATTGCAAGGTTGCACTCCATACTGGGGCCACGTTTCTGGAGTAATTGTCACCCTTGGCGCTAGCACCCAAGAAGAACCATCCAAAATATCAACAAAACTATCGTCTGGATACGTACTGCCATCACGTGACTTGAAAAGGCCTGGACAACCTTTTGGTGGTCAAATCAAGAGCTTGTGAAAAGCTTGCTTTCGTGGTATGATCTTCGATTTTCTTACCTCCACACTGCTCACTGTTCGTGAAGTTTAAGCTTTTCACAGATCGTAAAAGCTTAGATAATTCACGAACAGTGAGCAGTGTGGAAATAAGAGCATCGAAGTACCTGATATAGAATGAATGAATGAGCGGATAATCGAAGTGCTAGCTATGACGATCTCTAGCCATTGCGGACAAAGCCGTTTAGTCAAAAAACATGTTCTAGCGTTGGAATACAAAAGAAGAGTATTTAAAAATTAAGAGATCATAGGTATTTTGAAGTCTGTGAACGGAAAAGTGATTTGGAGGCTCGGGCTCGAACCTAGAAGAAGAGTTCACGTGATTTTTATCGTTTACTACAAAAAGTATTTTACACTATTTTCAAACACATTGACATCACTTTCTTGTAATGGCCTTTGGATGGGCATCACAAAGCCATGTATGTACTATGCAAAACCACGTCATCAATCAAAGCAATTCTCTCTCTCTCTCTCTCTCTGCAAAGTGCATGGATTCATTGTGTTTGAGTAAACCTCAAAATTGCTAAGTGTTTGCACTTCATCTCAACTTCCAATCACCTTGTCCTCTTGAATGCTAGAGAGCAGTGTCATTCCAGTCTGCTCCAACGTTAGTGTAAGTGTAGCAAGTGACAGTTGGAGCACTGTGATGCTTTAGGACAATCAATTCATCCCATTCCTAATCTGGAATGTCAAAACCCATTGATCACATCCTGAAATTGCCTCGTTGAGTCCATCTCCTGGCTCCTCTAGATCAAATCACCCAGATCCCACCAGCGCCTTGCAACTCGATAGGACTTTCTTGCTGCACGAGAAGCTCCAAGCTTGTGGAGCGCTTGCAGCTCAATTTGCGGAGCATCCTTCAGCCTCTCCAGCAGCAGCAGCACCTGCTTACTGGAAAAATCGTAATCTGATTGCCCTCCATAAGATGCAGAGAGATCAATCAAGATGGTGCTGGGTTTTATCCAATGATTTTTATATTTACATAAAAAGTTTTACATTCAGTACACATACACATGTGTTCTCTCTCTACCAAACTTGTTGCCACCCAAATTTAGGCTGGTCCTACCTTCGGAAAATCCAGGTTTGGCATGCCCGAACCACCACAGCAGTCATGGCGTGTTCGTATCAAACACGCAATCTTCAAAATACCCCTATATAAACCAGACCATTCCTTTGCAATAAATCATAAACCTAGTAACAATCTTTCTATCATATGGAGTCCTCTCTCAAGCTGTTTTCTCTTCTTGCTACTTTCCTTCTGATCTTTCTTGGCTCCTCCAGCTGCGCCAAGAACGACAACTGCAATGGCTCTGGACTCTGTGGATCTCGCGTCAACCAGGCCGATTGCCGGCGAGCAATCTCTCGCTACACCGATGGAACAATCTACAATGGCTTCACTTCTCGTGTTTCTGGCCATTGCACCGCAATTTTCAGGTGCGATGGCAACTATCCATCCGTGAGTGGGGCAGTTCTCAAGCAGCAGTTTCTCCATGTGTATGACAACCAGCCTTGCCGACTCTGCGGAAGCCATGCATTTGATGGGGGCAATTGCGAGGCCACACTGAACTATTGTGGGAATTGCAGGGACTCTGGAAATCCCAATGCCGTGAAGAACTGAAGTTCTAGACTTTGGACATGTTCTAAATAAGCTGTGCAAGTGTTTGCAGCATTATTTCACCAGATGTTGAATGTATGTATGGTTTGTTTATGTCTAACTATGTAGCATGGGAACTACATGGATGTCTGGTCCCTCTAGTCTTGAATGGCACGCTCCAATAATATTGATAAAACTTTGGACTTGATTGATAAATCTCCTTTTGCTTGCAGTGAACTTTCGATCATAGAAGCTGTGACTTTGCAAAAC